ATAAACAAGGCCTATATTAAAAGATTCCTGAATCTCCAAAACATCGATTACAACGATGATTTTGAGCAGTGTGAGAGCTGCATTCTGGGTAAACAGACCAGGCACTCATATCGCAGTCGGCCGGATCAGGCTAAACCTAAGCAAATCGGATATGTATCCGCTGATCTCTGTAGCCCCGCTACAGAATCCTTGGGACAGGCAAAGCACTTCCTAATGATAACTGACGAGTACTCGAAATTCCGTAAGGTATGTTTTCTGAAAACAAAGGATGAAACGATTCAGTGTATCTGACGATATACGCAGTTCTTCAGAAATCTGACCGGAGAACATATCAAAGGTTTCCATTCGGATGAAGGAACTGAATTCGAGAATCAAGAGGTTAAAAAGGTTCTAGATGAAATTGGCGCAGAACAAACCTTTTCAAACGCTTACACTGCCCAGCAGAACGGCTATGCCGAACGAGGGAACAGGACTGTTATAAATCTTGCAAGATCTGTCTTGATTGGTGCGGGACTAGAAAACAAAAAATTCCTTTGGGCTGAATGCGTAAATTACTGTATAGATATCTTGAACATTGTACTAATACATGAAGAACTCTCAAAATCTCCTTATGGAATATTTTACAAGAAAAAACCTTACCTTGGGAAGCTGTATCCCTTTGGAACAAAGTGCTTTGTGCGTAACTCTAAGCCGAACCCAAGAAAATTTAGCCGACGTAGCAATCCAGGCAGATTGGTAGGATACCAGCCGAATGGCCTCGGCTACCGAGTCTGGAGGAGTGACTCTTCTAGCGTTGTCCAGTCTAAAGACGTTAACTTCGTGAGTCCGCCATTACTCACGAGCGTCCAGAACACTGATAGCGGAATTAATAATAACTTGGACCCAGAGGATGCACGAGATGAGATAGCTCGAAGAGACGGCACTGACTCACCAGCTGATATGCAGCGTGAAGAGAATAATGATCAGCAAGCGCCAGAGCGAATTGGATCGCTCAGGTCGCGCACCTCTATTAGACGTCCGTCTCGGTTCAGAACAAACTCTGAGAGTGAAGAAGCGACGGATGCTCCCACAGGTGCTCGAGATGAAGCATGCGTAAATGAGGAAGAAAATGATCCTCAAGAAGCGGAACAAACGAGAAGACTGAGAACTCGCTCATCGTTAAGATTACCAGCACGTTACCGGGCGGAAGCCAACGCTCAAGATTTAAATACCGTGCTCAGTCATGGGCACGAGCTGACAGTGCTTAACGCAACC